CACCTAGCTTCTCTGTAGGTGGCATTTTACAAACCTATAGTACATTATCAAAATCAGAAAATTGACACTAGTACAATATAATTAACTAGACTACAGACCTCCTCAGATTTCACCTGTTTTTCCTTGCACTGTTTTTTGGGGTTTTGTATATAGTTCTATGACATTTTATTACATTTATAGATCCATGTCACCACCCCCACAGCCATGATACGGTACTATGGTGTCACCACAAAGGAACTTCCTCTTACTACTCATTGATGGCCAGGTCCTTCCTCCATCCCCAAACCCTGGCAACCACTGATCTGGTCTCCACCTCTATAATTTTGTTACTTTTATATTAAATGAATGGAGTCATATAGTGTATAACTTTTGGGGACTGTTTTTTCCCCTCAGTATAATTTCCTCAGTAAATTGTTGTGTGTATCAATCGTTATTCCTTCTTTTCCTGAGTGTTATCCCAGAGTACAGTTATGCCACAGTTTGTTTAACCATTCACCCACTGAGGGACGTCTGATTTGTTTCCATTAGGGGGCTATTACAAATAAAGCTGCTATGGTCATTTGTATACAGGTTTTTGTGTGAACATAAGATTTCAGCTGGGCATAGTGGCTCGCGCCTGTAATCCCAACATTTTGGGAGGCTGAGGCAGGCGGATCACCTGAGGTCAGGAGTTCGAGACCAGCCTGGCCAATGTGGTGAAACTCCATCTCTGCTAAAAATACAATTAGCTGGGTGTGGTGGCAGGCACCTGTAATCCCAGCTACTTGGTATTATTGGGAGGCTGAGGCAGGAAAATCACTTGAAACTGGAAGGTGGAGGTTGCAGTGAGCTGAGATCGCGCCACTGCACTCCAGCCTGGGCAACAAAAGTGAAACTCCATCTCAAAGAAAAAAAAAAAAAAAGCCATACATGCTGGCAGGTGCCTGTAACCCCAGCTACTCAGGAGGCTGAGGCATAAGAATCGTTTGAACCTGGGAGGTGGAGGTTGCAGTGAGCTGAGATCACACTACTGTACTCCAGCCTGGGGGATACAGCGAGACTCTGTCTCTAAATAAATAAATAAAACAAAACAAATATTTCATTTCCCTAGAATAAATGCCCAGGAGTTCAGTCACTGAGTTGTAGGATAAGTATATTTTTAACTCTTTAGGAAACTGCCAAGCTAGTTGTATCATTTTCCATTCCCATCAGCAATGTAGGAGAGATCCAGCTTCTCTGTATCCTCACCAGCTTTTCCACTCTTGGTATTTTTTCTTTTCGCTGTTCTGATAGGTGTTTCTTATTGTGACCTTAATTGCCTTTCCCTGACGGCCAGCAATGTTGAACATTTTTCATGCACTTATTCGCATGGCATGTTTTGATATTTGGTGGCAAGTTTGAGGTTGCCTTTCTCGTCTGGTTCGTGCCTCCCTGACCCTGAGGGAGACAGCTGCACTTGGCTGCTCCCTGAGGTGGCAATCCTCCTTTTAGGTCTTGTATAAAGAGGGAGGGGTGGTTTGATCTTATGGTTAGGGGCTCAGGTTCAGATGCTCCAGGGTGGGCTTGAGGAGGCTGATTAAGGGGAGAGTATGACACCAGCTGTAACAGCACCGTTCCTCCTATTCGTACCCCACAAAACATGTTTGATAAAATCAGTGCCATTTGAGATGGATTCACTTGGGAGTGTTGTGACAAAGTTCTGAGTCTGCTCTCACAATTGGAAATTATGGAACCTGAGCAAAGGAGACTGATCCAGTCACAGTGGGGTCACAAATATTACCCTATCATTTTAGAATGTGAACAGAATTGGAGCTGGGAAGCTTGAGTTGTCCTAAGAGGTCTATAGTTTCTACGACACAGCTTTTGATAGGCTCTGCCCAGCAGCCTGGTAGGACCTGGCCTGGGATGGGGAGGGAGGCCACCTCTGAGTGAGCAGTGACACATCCTCCACCCTGGCTCACCTTCTCCCTGAGGCTGACTGTGAACAGGATGGTGCTTGAGAACCTGTGAGATCAGAGCCAGGACTCTTGAGCCAGGAGCCAGATCATACCCTGGAGAGGGAGCGTCAACTGGCACTGGCAGGACCCAGAAAGAGTCAGTCTCCTGGGGTGCCACATTTGGAGGGAGGGACTCAGGGTAACCATCTAGAGCAGGGATTCTCAAGGTAGGTTCCTCAGTCCCTGTGGATCACAAGGAGCCTCCTGGTAGACAGCATGTCCCAAATACAGCTCTTTCCATTATGTTCTCCAGGGGAGTGATGAACTCATCCAGAAGATTCCATCTTTTACTCATGACCAAGTCCACTTCATTTCAACCTATTAATTGAATTATTAAGAATTACCAACTGAGGGCCGGGCATGATGGCTCACGCCTGTAATCCCAGCACTTTGGGTGGCCGAGGCAGGGGATTGCGAGGTCAGGAGATCGAGACTATCCTGGCTAATATGGTGAAACCTCGTCTCCACTAAAAATACAAAAAATTAGCCAGGCATGGTGGCGGGTGCCTGTAGTCCCAGCTACTCAGGAGGCTGAGGCAGGAGAATGGTGTGAGACCGGGAGATGGAGTTTGCAGTGAGCTGAGATTGCACCACTGCACTCCAGCCTCGGCAACAGAGTGAGACTCCATCTCAAAAAGAAAGAAAAGAAAAGAAAAGAAAAGAGAGAGAGAGAGAGAGAGAGAGAGAGAGAGAGAGAGAGAGAGAGAAAGAAGGAAAGAAAGAAAGAAAGAAAGAAAGAAAAGAAGGAAGGAAGGAAAGAAAGAAGGAAGGAAGGAAAAGGAAAGAAAAAGAAAGAAAGAAAGAAGGAAAGAAAGAAAGAAAGCAAGAAAGAAAGAAAGAAAGAAAGAAAGAAAGAAAGAAAGAAAGAAAGAAAGAAAGAAAGAACGAACGAACCGAGGGAAGGCATAAAGTAAAATGATGGAGCCAGGCGCAGTGGCTCATGCCTGTAATCCCAGCACTTTGGGAGGTCGAGGTGGATGGATCATGAATGAGGCCAGGAGTTCGAGACCAGCCTGGCCAACATAGTGAAACCCCGTCTCTACTAAAAATACAAAAATTAGCCGGGCATGGTGGCACGCATTTGTAGTCCCAGTTACTCGCGAGGCTGAGGCAGGAGAATCACTTGAACCTGGGAGGAGAAGGTTGTCGTGAGCTGAGATGGTGCCACTGCACTCCAGCCTAAGCAACAGAGTGTGTTCACAAAAAAAAAAAAAAAAAAAAAAAAAAATTGACGGTGTTTCAAGAGTTTCTTGGACACTGCCAGTATGACCTTGAGTAAATTACTTAAAATTTGTTACTCCATTTCCTCATCTGTAAAACGGGGATCATAATAATTCCAAATTCATGGAGACATTGGGAAGGTTAAATTGCTTAAAACAGCGGGGTGTGGTGGCTCACAGCTGCAATCCCAGCACTTTGGAAGGCTGAGACAAGAGGATCACTTGAGCCCAGGAGTTCAAAACCACCCTGGGTGAGACCCCATCTCATTTTTTAAAAACAAAGAAAAAAATAAAAATAACATAAGGCCGGGTGCAGTGACTCACGCCTGTAATCCCACCACTTTGGGAGGCTGAGGAGGGCGGATCACTTGAGCCCAGAAGTTACAGACCAGCCTGGGCAACACGGTGAAATCCCCTATGCCCCCGTCTCTACAAAAAATACAAAAATTAGCTGGGCGTTGTGGTGCGCTCCTGTAGTCCCAGCGACTCAGGAGGCTGAAGTAGGAGGATCGATTGAACCAGGAAGTCGAGACCGCAGTAAGCTGAGATGCGCCACTGCGCTCCAGCCTGGGCGAGAGAGTGAGACCCTGTCTCAAAAAGTAAATAAACAAAACAAAATTAAATTAAATTAAGTGCCTGGCCCAGAGCAAGTACTGCAGACGTGTCACCCTTTGTTATGGCTGCAACGTCAACAGCCACTGCCCAGTCTGGCCGCGTTGCAAACTCCGACTGCGTGCGCCCCCTGGAGGGTATTGGAATTCCTGCACCTGTGGAGGGTTGCTTTCTTCCCTGGGTTTCCTCACGGCGTCCTTGAGTTGGTAAGCTTCCCATTGCCAATGTTAAGTAATGGAAATTCCTGTTAGTTTAGCTTCGTTATCATGGACATCATTTGTTGGTAGTGATTTTGTAAATCCTACAGGTGTGATGCTGCATATTTCCACAATCTAATTTGTAACAGAAAATGTTCTAATAACTAGATTTCAAGCCATCAGTATGTGTGGGTCAAACATGGATCATCTCCACCCCTGTAGTTAAATGTGACTAAGTTCTTTATCAGGAGTGCATGGGGAACATGGGCTGCTGGGTTTTCAATCTCTCTTCAGTGGGCTCCAAAATATTGGAGGCCCTGTGCGTGGAGGGCATTGGTCAGAGTCCAGGAGTGGCCCTACTGTTCAGGACTAGGTATATGGGGAGTGGCAGAAGCCCCCATCTGGAAAGCATCCCAGCAGCCTGATATGACAGCAGTTGTCCTTGGGCTCCTCCTGGGGACCTCAGCTCCCCAGACTGTCCTCTGCCCCTCATCAGCTAGCCGCCTCCTCATGGACCCCAGGTCTGTGGATAACACTCCTTCATGCATGCACACACACACAACGCATACACACACACACAGCTTAGGACCCGGCTCTGACCTCTCCAGTAAGCCTTACCTGATTGATCACACTCAATTCTAACCCATCATTCCCTATGTACTTGAGGATCCAGCATATTTTTCCCATCTGTTCCTTACTCTGCAAAGGCCCAGAATCCTGGCTGGGTCAGAGTGAGTCCTTTCTTCCCAGACCACGATGGTATTTGTACTGAGGCCTATTCACATACATTTAGCCACTCATTCGATACAATATCCTGCATTGGGTGGTTAAGGAATCTGGGCCCAGAGAGGGTGAGCAACTTGTTACAGGTCATGCAACCAGATCCAGGCCGGAGGAGCTCCGCGATAGATCACACCACCTTTTATTAAGATGCTTTCTGGTGATCTAACTCCCTAGCTAATGAACTAACCTGGCTCCTTTCATGGTCTCTGCAGATGCCAAGGGGACAATTCGGGAAATTGTCCTGCCTAAGGGCCTGGACCTGGACCGGCCCAAGCGGACACGTACATCCTTCACTGCCGAGCAGCTGTACCGCCTGGAGATGGAGTTCCAGCGCTGCCAGTACGTGGTGGGCCGCGAGCGCACTGAGCTGGCCCGCCAGCTAAACCTCTCCGAGACCCAGGTAAGAGACCAGGGCCAGGCCACTCCACTCTTGTCCTGGCAGCCTGGGAACTCCTGGGGATATGAGGCCCTGTGAACTGCTACAGGGAGACCCAACTTCGGAGGAGTTCAGACAAACACGAGGGAAAGACTTTCAGCTACAGGTAAATGAGAGCGAAAGAGCAAATAAACACACCGTGACCATAGACAGTCAGGAAATGCCAGCGAGGCCCTTCTGGATACATCAGGCACTTTTGGATGGAATATGGAAAAGGTTCAGAGAAACGGGGAGAGCAGCCCTCAGGGCGCAGGGAATGGCTTGAGGGGGTGTTGGCATGTAAGAGGAGTGACGAGAAGGGATGGTGAGGGCTTGGCTGGTTGGAAATAAAGATTCTGGGGAAGATGAAACATTATAAAATTGGGCTGGGGACCTCTTGCTTCTCCATTTCTGGCCCTTTCCCACTCTCCATCACCTTCCCTTCATCTCAGGGTGCCTCAGTCTCTTGTTGGAAAGGAGGGGTCTGCACACCCCCTTCACCTGGGTAGGACTGGCATTTTAACAGAAGTATGCTTAACTCGAAAGAAAAAAACTTTTGTAAATTAAGCACCTACCCTGTATGAATGGAGACCCTTCAAGCTGGTACTAGAGCTACAGAATACTACTACTAATGATAATAATAATACTTAGTACTTAACATGTGTCAGGCACTAAGTGCTTTGCCTATGTTAAGTAACTAATCCCTGCCAAGAAGCAGATGATGTCATTCCCATGTTACAGGTGACAGGAAGTTATGCCCAAGGTCAGAGAACTAATTCGTTCCAGAGCTGGGCTTTGGACAAGCAGTCTCTCGTCTTCATGCTGCCTATAAACGGGCAACCTTCCTTGAGCTTGTCAAAGAATAACTCAGAGACCCTTCTTTCAGCCAGACCTCTAGTAGTTTGCTTTCATATTTGAGGGAGATCAATCAATACATGCATTGCAAACAATGGCCAAAATAGGATTGAGAAAGTGGAGAGGAAGGGAGGAGGGGAGTGAGGAAGCGCTGGTCTGGAGCAGTGTGCTGGTTTCCTTCCTGGAGTGAGGCAGGAGGCTGTGCTGGAGTGAGGGCTTCCCCTCTGTGCTGTGTGGCTGCTGTCCTCCCCTGTGTCCCTGCCTCAGTGAGGTCAGCTCTCCCTGCTTCCCTCAGTGTAATTCCTCCAGCCCCTCAAATCCCACCAACAGAGTGCTGTGTAGCCCACCCCTGGGGAGGGGATAGTCAGATGCCCGTGGAAGTCCTGGTCCCCTTGAGGGGTGAGCAGGCTCCTCCTGGGGTACACTGAGTGTAAGACAGAGGAAGAGGCAAGAAGGGGCGAGAGGCAGAGGAGGGGCAGACCGGGAGGAGGGGCAGGCTGGGGAAGGACAGCAGCTGCTGTCCTGCAGGGCTGGGTCATCTCCACCTGCACTTGTTTTCCCCCAGCTGCCACTGCAGAGCTCCCAAACAACCCTTCAGGGCCTCTCTCCAGCTGGGCTCAACAGGGGGCTGGGAAGCCTGGCCTGTGTTCAGAGAGGAGGCTGCAGTGGCAGGGCCAGGCCAGAGCTCCTGGGGAAGTCACCGAGGCCCGTATTCCCTACACGGAGCTGCCCTTGGAGGTCAAGCCCAAGCCCCTCCTCTTCCAGGAAGCCTTCTGCAGGTGCCTTGCCCTCTTCCCAAGAGACCTTTCCACATGGCTTGACCTGGAGAGAGAGACACAGAGAGAGAGAGAGAATGTGTGTGTGTGTGCGCATGTGTACGTGTGTGTGTGAGTGTGCGCGTATGTGTACATGTGTGTGGTGTTGGATCTCCACCAGTATTTGCTTCCCAAGGGCAAGAATGTGTTTATAGGCCACGGCCCCTCGTGACGCTCCGCAAGGAAACCAGAACACAGCTGCTCACACAGTAGGCCCTCAGCGAGTCCTCCGCACTGTTCCCACTGATGACCCTCCTTTCTCTGTCCCCAGTCCTAGGGTTGACAGATAGTAAAAGTCATGGACAGCTGATGCTTATTGAGCACTTCCCATGCACCAGGTCCTGTTCCAAGGGTGTGACATAGTCTAACTAGTTTAGTCCTCACCACAACCTTGTGGGATACATGTGAGATTTTTCTTCCAACACCAAGCGTATGGTATGTTCCAACCACCAGCAGGCAGTGCTCCAATTCTCCAGCGTCACTGAGTATATTCAACAGTTCAATACTGACAGCAATTCCCAGAGCTAGCTCAGACCCTACAAGTTAAGGGCTCAGTCCCACAAGACAGTGCCACAGCAGACTCAAGTTCCAGGAGCCACCTGTGCTTCTGAATGGACTGGCCTAAAACTGGGGGCTCCCACATCACCCTCTTCAGGTTTGACAATTCACTAGAATGACGCACAGAACTCAGGAAACACCTCCCCTACACTTGCTGGTTTGTTATAAATGACACAAGTGAGGAACAGCCAGATGGAAGAGGCAAAGGGCAAGGTAAGGGGGAGGTGCGTGGAGCTCCCATACCGTTTCCAGTGTCCCTGTTCCCACCGCTTCCACGTGTTCACCAACCAGAAGTTCTCCTGGTCTCCTTGTTCAAGACTAAATCCAGGCTGGCCTGGCACAGTGGCTCATGCCTGTAATCCCAGCACTTTGGGAGGCCAAGGAGGGAGGATCACTCAGGATCCCAGGAGTTCAAGACCAACCTGGGCAGCACAGGGAGACCTCATCTCTAAAACAGTTTTTTGAAACATTTTTTACAGTTTAAACAGTAAACTGCAGGGTGTGGTGGCACACACCTGTAGTACCAGCTACTTGGGAGGCTGAGGCGAGAGGATTGTTTGAGCCCAGGAGGTCAAGGCTACAGTGAGTCATGTTAGCTCCACTGCACTCCAGCCTGGGTGACAGAGCAAGACTCTATCTCAAAAACAAACAAAAAAAGACTATAATCCAATCTCCATTTCCCTCCCCTGCCTAGAAGGAAAAAATGGGGTCGGCTGAAAGTTTCCACCCTCTAATCACAAGTATGGTCTTTCTAGAACCAGCCCCAGTCCTGAAACTACCTAGAGATCCACCCTGAATCACCTCATTAGCATACGACAGTAAGTCTTATTTATTTATTTATTTATTTATTTATTCATTCATTCATTTATTTACTGTAGAGACAGGGTCTTGCTTTGTTTCCTAGGCTGACCTGGAACTCCTGGTCTCAAGTAATCCTTCCTCCTCCGCCTTCCAAAGTGCTGGGATGATAGGTGTGAGCCACCATGCCCAGCCAATAAGAGTATATGGTTTCCACTTTTAAAAAAAGGAAACTGAGGCATAGAAAAGTTAAATAAATAACTTGCTCAAGATTTGCAGCAGGCGCATTCATGAGCTCATTTAACCTTTAGAAGAAGATGGCTTTATGGGTCCTATTATCCCCATTTAAGCAAACTAAGCCTCAGAGAGGTTAACTAACTTGTAGCTAGGATTCTGTGGCATTCTCAGTATGTTCACCCATACTTTTGTTCAAAAATATTATTGAATATCTACTATATAGCAGGTACTCTTCTAGGCACTAGGGCTATAGCTTAGAACAAAACAGACCAGGCACCTGCCCTTGTGCAGTTAAGATCCATGGAGACAAAGACAAACTGGATTTCCAAGAGTGATAAGTGTTATGAGGGAGCTCAAATGGGGTCATAGGAGAGAGACTAGAAGGAAGTGTTTTATTGAGGTGTTCAGGGAAGGCCTCTTTGAGAAGATGACATTGAGCTTAGGCCTGAGTGAGAAGGAAGAGACAGCCAGATGAGGAGCCAGGACATGTCAAGGCAGAGGGTAACTATGAAGACCTGAGGGGCAGGAACTGGCATAGAATGCTCTAGAAGTGTCAGAAGGCCAGAGTGGCTGGAACTACAGGGTAATTGAGTAAGTAGGTAGGGGAGGATCATGCGGGGCTTAGAGATCATGATAATACATTGAAGAGAAAGTGACAGGAGATGATTGGCATTTTACAGAAGTTGCTCTGGCTGCCACCCAGGGAAGGGACCACAGGGGACAGGAGTGGACGGGTAGGGACTACTGACATGGACCTTGAACAGAGCGGTGGTGGAGAAGAGAAGCGCACTGACGTGAGAGGTACTCTAATTTAGCGCTGGAACCTGTTAGGACTTGCTCATGGATTACACGCACAGGGTGAGGGAAAGGAAGTGGTTTGGGTTGAACAATTGGGAGAATGGTGACACCATTTAACGAGTTGAGAAAGTAGGGGAGAAGCAAGATGGTGGGAGCGTAATCAAGAATATTGTTTTGGATTAGTTAAGTTTGAGATCCCAGCAGAGATGTCAGGAAGGCATGTCAGATTTTGGGGAGGACTGGTTTTTCTCTGATTTAAGTTAAGTTATCTGAGAGTCTCTGTCAGAGCTCTTTTGGGGGAAAAGATAAGAAATTCCTTCAGGTGCCCTCAGATAATGGGTGGTCTCCCCAAGGATAAAAACAGAAGCCATAGCCTTGTGGAAATTCAATAACGGGAACCACGGTGTAGCCAGGAATTGGAAGAGACTGAAAGCCAAAGGTTCTTTTGGGCCCAACAGATTCAGCACCAGCTGCTCACAGACCTTCCTCCCAGTGCTCTGCTGAATATGCGCTCCAACTGCTCTCCAAAATACCTGCTTCTCTCTCTGTTTCTCCTCTCCTCCTCTCCTCTCTTCTCTCTTCTTATCTCTTCTCTTCTCTCTTTTTTCTCTTCTCTTCCTTCTGCCAAACAGCATCTCTACCTTCTTCCCTGGATACTCAGAGGACCCAGGCATGGTTCCAATTCAGGCAGAGAAAACACAGAGCTTGCTCAGGGCCCATTTCCATGGCTAGTCTCTTTTTATAATCTAGCATGCCCAATTCAGTTGAGTTGTCTGCAGATTTAAATCAGAAGCCCACTTACAGGATTGGGCAGGCAGAACGGGGAAGCCCTTTCCTTGGCTCCCCACCACCCACAGGGCTCTGCAGGATAAAGAGTCCACCACAGTAGGAACAGTGAGCAAGACACAGTGCAGCTGACCTCCG